TTTATTTGAATGTTCGCCGGTTCCCGCCTCCTTCTTCCCGATCTACAAACAACGTTACAATATACATGCATGTGTTTGTTTTTATATATACATAACAAATATACACAGTACACATACATATATTATGTAAACAAAAACTTTAATTTTGGATGTGATTAATCGTTTGACAGCACCAGAGCTGTCCTCAAGTTTAAACCAGTTACATTCTAAAGCCTGCAAACCCAAAGCAAGCAAGTGCATGTTAATGATTTGTTACTTTCACTTCAGCTTGAAGTGAAGTCTGAAGTCAAAGCTGGTACAATAACAACTCTCACCTCTGCTACAATGGTGCTCCGGTGCTCATTAAAGGTGGTCAGTGGTCTGGTGTGTATCCCAAGAATACAACTCCTATTAGCAGAAATGCGAGTAGCAAAATAGGCAAAGACCCTAGGAGAGAGATTCTCTTCTGATACAACCCGAAGTCACCAGCGTGTTGCAGAAGTTCGTCAAAATTAGACATCTTTATGAGGGTTGGTGGAAGCGGTTTCTATAGTAAGCCCCGTTTTTATCATGCAGACTGTTGTTGACACTTCAGTTTGGACGTTTGGTGTGGTTTACCGCAGATACTTCAGATTAAGTCACGCATGAGCATTTAAAGGGCTGCGGAGGTGGAGTTATGAACCTGTTCAAAGTTCCTCCGCGTCGGTCATTGTGAGGAAAGTTACAACAGCCAGAACTGATTTGAGATGTCTGAAACCTGTGTAAAGTGTTAAAGAAAGGTGACGTGTGAGATTTTTTTAAATACTAGATATAAAATGTGCCTTTTACCTGACAGATATCAATCAAACAGTTGTCGTGAGGAAGCAGCTGACTCTGTGTTACGACCGTTACGACACACTCTGGATACAGAGCAGCAGCCCGCGTTTTTTAGCGAATCACAAGAACGCGTTCGCGTTTGCTGTGATCGGATTGGCTGGCATATATTTGGAGGCGGGGCTTTGGCATGTAATTGGCTGAAATTACTTATATAGCAGTGTTTAGAGACTGTAAAAAAATACATATAGCTAAAAATTGCCAAGACACTTTTGCGTTCTTGACCACTTTTTAGACCAAATGTGCCACTCCCAAAAAAGCAATTAAGTAACCTTCCATAACAAAATGAAATTACATAATTTAGGAATCTTGTAAATCCAGTTAAACAAATTAACAGTAGGCTACTTGTTTGTAGTTTCACCATAGAGACCAACACCCACAATAATCACAATGAATAATTAATTCCTTGCATAACTGTCAAATCCTGAGGTAATTCTCCCGTTTTTACATAGTAGCTCCAACGTTCTTTAGAAACTTGATTAATTCATTTAGAGAATGATTTAGAGAATGTAATTTTGTTGTCAGTTTTGCGTCTTTTTTCTATTTAAGACCTCTAAAATGATTTGACCAATTAAAAGTTTTATTCAAAATCAAAGCAACCCTACGATCTATGATTTACAATTTTTGGATAATGTTTATACATCTGCTTTGGCCCTAATACTTTGTTACTGGTCCTTGTACCATAATACACTACTTCACATGGGTTTCTAATTATACTCACCAATGTTCATCCACAGGTTCTCATCTGCCAACTCGAAAAACAATTTCACAAAAATATGAATGAAATTGGAAATAATTGGCTGTAGGCTTTAGCTTGAGTAATTAACACTATATCAAAAATAAAAAGCAGATAAATGATTACGTATCTATTATTTCCAACAGTTGCAATAAAGTTTCTCCAAATGTATGCACCGTATATAACCATTTTTTGTATAACCTCACGTCTTTTATAATGACATGTATCATAATAAAATACATAATACTACATGAATGCATGGTGTCAAAGTTCAAACAAGCGCGATACACATGGACGTATTTGTATAAAGTTTATTTGTGAATGTGACAAACTGACATTGAGATCAGTCTGTCTAATCAACCGACTGCATGTCTTTGTCTCTGAGCTCTTGATGTTCTTCAGACATTGTGTCTGTGATGGTCTCCTCTGTGAAGCTGAACTCCGTGTCAACCTGTTGCTCACCCTGAGCGTCGTCTGTGCTCTCAACGCAGCTGTTTGAGTCCTCGTAGGCCTCTGGCGGCAGGTGGCGGTGGATGGTGAACGCTGTCGAGAGTTCCTGTAGCCGAGCTTTCTCTGCCTTCAGGTTGGCAAGCTCTTTGGTCAGCGGCGTCGCATCTGCGGGAGACTTACAGGTTGGTTCAATGGGGGTGTTTGCATCTTGACTGACCGCTTCTGTTGAGACTGTCACTTCCTCTTTAGTTACTGCCACTTCCTCTGGAGTTTCCTCAGTAGTGACTGGCTCGGTAGCAGCCGAGTCTTCGGCTCCAGGCTGTTGGGACCCGTTGAGCTTCTGATACAGGGTTTTCCTCTCGTCCTGAAGCGCTCTACACAGATTCTCCAGTTTCTGGGTCTTCAGGGTGATGAGTTCAAACCCCTTCTCCTTCAGCGCTTTCTGCGTGAGAAAATCTTGATCATATTTAATCTGTATCTCCTATAAAGACTCAGCAGCACTATTTGGGTGAAGATTCATTCTCTTAATTCTCATAGATAGTTGATAAATTCTTAAAAATGAAGGTTCTTTGTTGGCATCTATGGTTCAATGAAGAACCTTTAACATCCATGGAGTTTCTTTACAGTGGAAAAAGTTTCTTTAGATTATTAAATGGTTAAAAAGGGTTCTTTTAAGAACTATTTACTAAAAGGTTCTTTGGAGAACCTGATATGGTTAACTGATTTCAACAATATTGATGTATGATTGATATATAACCTGAGCAACTTACATCTGCAACCATATCAATGAGAGCTTTATTGCAGCCATCAAAACGGGATTTCCAGGCCACTGCCTCCTTCTCCAACTTCTTCATCTTCTTTGCCATCTGTAAGACAAATCAACATCTTACCATGTACGACAGACTGCAAGCTGCTTAGTGTTTTTTTAGTATTTCTTATCAAGTCAAGTCACCTTTATTTATACAGCACTTTTAACAATACAGATTGTGTCAAAGCAGTTTTACAGTATTAAATAGGAAAAATAGTGTGTAATAATACAAAAGGACAACAGTAAACACTCAATTTCAGTTAAAGTCAGTTCATCTTCTTATGTAGTATCATATTTTCACATTTCACATCATATTTTTATTCATATTTTGAACTGGCTTTTATTTTAAATTTCCAGTTTTCTTTTTAATTTTAGGTTATAGTTTTAGGAAGTTTGTTGTATGCTTTTGTCATATTATTATTATTTTAAATATTACTGTTTAGGCTTAATTTAATTTTTAATTCAGTTATAGTTTAGTTTTAGTCTATTCATTTCCAGTTAGTAATTTTAGTGCTTCAGCTTAAACGTAGGCAACATTTCTAATTTGTGACCCTGGACCACAAAACCAGTCATAAGGGTCAATTTTTCGAAATTGAGATTTATACATCATCTGAAAGCTGAATAAATAAGCTTTTTTTTTTCAAATAAGTTTGTTAGGATAAGACAATATTTGGCTGAGATACAACTATTTGAAAATCTGGAATCTGAGGGTGCAAAAAATCAAAATATTGAGAAAATCGCCTTTAAAGTTGTCCAAATGAAGTTCTTAGCAATGCATATTACTAATCAAAAATTAAGTTTTAATATATTTACAGTAGGAAATGTACAAAATATCTTCATGGAACATGATCTTTACTTAATATCCTAATGATTTTTGGCATAAAAGAAAAATCAATCATTTTGACCCATACAATGTATTTTTGGCTATTTCTACAAATATACCCCAGCGACTTAAGACTGGTTTTGTGCTCCAGGGTCACATTTGTGTTTAGTTTTAAGTTTTTAACCTAATTAATTTAAGATTTATTTCAGTTTATTTATTTTAATTAACAGAATTCAGAATTTAAATGTTTTAATTAACAGAAAGGGTTTTATTTTATTTTATTTTTATATATTACTATTTAGGTTTAATTTATTTCTATTTCAGTTTTAGTTTCAGTTTTAGATATATTCATTTCCAGTTAGTAATTTTACTGCTTCAGCTTAAACTTATTTTAGTTAGTTGCCAATGCAACATTTCTCATTTTCCTTTAGTTTAAGATTTTCAGCAAATTTATTTTCAGATTTATTATTTATTTCAATTTACAAAAATGTTTTTAATAGTGTAAGTCTTAGCCACCAATAATAACCCTGATTAAACAAGCTAGAAATTAACCCTAATGTTCTGTTCTGGGTCTGAGAGACACACTAAACATTGATGCATTTAATGTGAGACTCTAAACAAGTTTCGACACATTTGAAAGGTTTTCCATATTGGACCTAACCACATTTCTGAAAAGTA